GTAAATAGATTTATTGGATCTTCACTAGTCGTAACTACATTTAATTATTACACTATAGCGGGTTTACACCATTTACACTCGCTACACGCCAATCTTCTCAGTCTACCTGCTGTAGTTTTCACGTATTTATAACACGGCAGCTATATGAGTCTCACTGAAATACACACTCCCAATCTCACTGCACTATAACACACATAATATCTTGAAGTCACACAACAAGTCTTCACTGGATGACTTCTCACCTGTCACTCACTATGACCATCACTGACTATCACTGACTTTAAACTCATAAAACCTTCAAATAACACGTTCAGGTCTTCTTCCTCCCGCGGCTCTCACCGAACACTGACTGAGAACTGACTGACTTACTTCTTAGGAATTCCAGTCTCACCTACAAACCCTCGATCGCACAAGCGGAAAATACAGCTTGCTCCACTGTTACCTAATTGTCGCGTCTACAGATGTGATGCCAAGCAATGCGTTGATTAGCTGCTGCCGAGATGTGTTTGCCGCAGCGCTGCGTAGCAACGAGTGCGGTGCGGCTCGGCACGGAGAAAACACCGCTTTCCTTATTGTTGCGTAATCACCGTGTCCACAGACCTCTGCGGCTCAACAGCTCTCGCATGTCGTAAATACGCCATATTATTTTAATTTTTACCCATTTTTAAATTTTATATCTATGTATAGAATTCATATTCGACCGTTAATTGAGCCATGACTGCTTTGTCTTGCGCTAGAAGTGCGATGTTTCTGTGGAAATTTCGAGATGTCACGGCGCCAGTTTGTCGCTCCTTTGACAGGCCTGTACAGACATAAGTTTTCGAACTCGGTGGTTCGAAGGCGACACACACCCAAGCTCAATGTTTTGCACCTGCTGAAAAGGACTTTTATAGGCGCTCTGTGCTGGACTTCCTTGTTTCGCCGCCGCTGCAATCCGTAGACGCCGCTTCCCACCGCGACGGCCCTGGTTCGATCCCGGTTCTGGTAAAGTGGGATTTGTGGTGGACAAAGTGGCGCTGGGGCAGGTTTTCTCCGAGTACTTCGGTTTCCCCTGCCAATCTTCATTCCACCAATTGCTCCTCAATCACCCTCACCTATCACTGGGGCTGGTACAATAGGCCAGAAGTGGCCGCAGTACAAGGGACTTAGTCCCACCCCACTAGCAATAAAAAACACTAAATTAACGCAGCCTTTTTACACGGTCAATTCACTGTAGTCGTTTTTGTTCTAACTCTAATAATAAATTTGCTTTCAAAAAAGTTCATTTTTAATGTTAGTCGTTGTTGTTCTTTCCATTCACATTTCGCAAAGTATTCCACTGCTATGAAGCCGGTATAACTCAGTCGGTATAGCGACGGCTACGGGTTCGATTCCCGGCAGTGTAAGATTTTTCTCTTCTCGGTTTCCAGACCGGTTCTTGGGCCCATCCAGCTTCTTATCAAGTGGGTACAGTTGGCTCTTTCCGCGGAAGTAAAGCGGCAGAGACGTGAAGCTGACCACTCACTCCATCTAGTGCCGAAGATAAGATTGGTGGAGTTGTTCCTCCCCCATACATCTTCATGGCATAGGGACAAATTTACCTTTATATTCCACTGCTGCGTGGGATGACACTGAGTTGGTTGCCGGCGTTACCGATTCTGTGTGACTGAAAGGAGGTGACAGAAGACCTAAGTTAACTTGGACGTAGATGATCCATTCGATGTGAAAAGCACATAATGTCCTGGAGTTGTGTCGTGTCTGTTCAAGGCCAAGTTGTGACAGAACGTCTGGAAACTTATCATGAAGAAGCCTGAAGAAGGGAAGAGAAGCGCCTGCCAGAAGAGAGACGGGAAAGGAAAGCAGTTTTCAGCTGTTACTTGAGCCCTGCAGCAGCGCGAAACTGTGGCTGCTAGACTCACTTCACCCTGGCAACAAAGTCTCTCCCATTCTGTACTTCTGGGCTGCGAACCAGAATCGTCAGACCACAAACAGAATGAGTCAGCCCCTGCTTCCACTGACGGCAAGAGATGGTGTTTCCGCACCAAGGCTGTTCCGACTAGGAACGTCTTCACGGCTCTGAAGTCAGCAAGGATGGCCAGCCGGAGCGCGCCTCCTCGTATCTTCCTCGTAGTGTCTACTGACGTCACAATGTGCGACTGTTGGCATTTCCATTGTTCTGCAGTGCAGATCGCAATTGGAGGGCTAGTGGCGGAAATTTTGACGATTTTTTTCAGACTGCCATATTTGCTTAGTGTTGCAGTTTTCTGGTATTGACGTGCAAGGATGATGGCAAGCGATTATGCTAATATTACTGTAGTGATCAGACTACATCCACAGTTGGTCTGACTGCTTCTTGAACCTGCTTGTTCTTTGGCAGGCTATTGTACGAGGTTTTCAGTATCTAGACTATAAATGATGCCCCACAAGGAAAAATCAGTATTCTGGGAGGTCGTAATGTCGGTCATTATAAACAAAAGAGTGTAGATGTACATGTGTCCTATTCCGAACAGTTTCCGAGATAGAGCTATTTTACTCTACAGTACACTGTACAGGAACGTCAAGATAACACTCAGACGAGCAACACGCCATGCCCTCACAACAGTTGTGTTGATATTGACAGTGGAATTTTCGAAAATGTATTATGCTAGGTAAACTGTACCAACTTTGTCACTTGAACAGTAAATACCGGTATTAGAAACAGTACGTAATATCTCTTTCTTATTGTGGCGTATAGACCTGTTCGTGGGAGATGACTCTGTAAACATCAGCCGTTGCTAGGTAATGCCCACACGCAACAATAGAGGAGGTGTCACGATACGTGGCGCGTACATTCGTTGCCATGGAGCGCCCGCAGCTTACGCGTGCGCCGTGACGTCATAATACAATAGGAGAGGTGATGGAGGCGGTGTTTTTTTTTTTGCAGGTCCGCTGCGAGGCTATATGACCGCGTTTTTTTTTCAGCGAGTGAGTGCAGTGCAATTGAGGGTTAAGATGTAGAGTGTTAACCAGCGGGCAACGGAAGCGGAAGAATCTCAAATGATAAGCTTCGTTGCCAGGAAACGTCTAGTGAAGACACTACAGAGGAATAGGCATTGTGGAGAGCTGTTACCAAGTAAAGACTAGTGGAAGTAGACTGAGAAAACTTAGTGTTGAGTGGTTTGTAGTGTGGAAATCAACAATACTGTTGTAGTTAGTATCATTTACAACCTGTAAGTGGTCAATAAATCGATTCATCATTCCAAATCCGATCTGTAGTCACAAACACCTGACGTTATCAACAATTTTGAAACTTTACAGTAAAATAACTCTATCTTGGAAACAGTTCGGAATAGGACACATATACACTTTTTACTTAGAGTGACTGATACTATGACCTCACAGAATACTGGCCTTTCCTCCTGGATACTCTGTATAACATCAAACGGTAGAATGGCAGATGAATGATATATTACAAAGAATTTGGAAGAAAACGGTTGTGGCCTAATTAGACATTATCCTGTGATTTGCCTGATAGAAACCACGATAAACTTAATTGTATCCGACGTCAAGTCAAGATTAGAACCGAGCACTCCCGAGATACAAAAGTCTGGAACCTTACCGCCAAGTGAATCTGCTCGGCCACAGGATGTGTTAGAAGCAACCGGTAAGAGTGTTGCACAGTGGTCGGAGAAACGCTTTCTAATTATTGCAATTGAGTAGCCTCCTCCCCAAAGTTAAACGACTTTTATTGAGTAATGGCCGCCATTGACTGAGTGCTTGGGTCGAAGGGATCCACTGCGGTCTGCTGACCCAGACGACACGCAGCAGATATTTTATGTTCATGAAGCAACTCAACCGTTTGAATCCAAATTTCGTACAGAAAATCTGAACTGAATGATGGCAATCTTAAACATCTTTGATGTTTCTTCTTCATAAAATAGTTACGTCATCACTGCTAGGTTCTGTTCTCAATCTAAGATGGGTACCACAACCTCTTTGAGGAAACAGGGACATCCCTTGTATTAGGCTGCCTACTCAAGGGATGGCTTACCCTCAGAGATGGGACAAAGTTACATGTTGCTACAGTGATGGAGTCCGTCATGTGACCAGTCACCGTCAAACAATTAGCTCCTTCCTGGAGTCTGAACGTGACCGGAAATGACGAAATGACACTTCGAAATTTTCTGACGTCTGCCAACTCTGTTTTGCTGAGTGTTCTTCCGAACCTTACAGACTCTTCTCGGTTCATTTAACCCACTGACATATTGATGTTGTGTCCTTTAGCCAGAATTACCGTTTATTTTCCAAAGACTTTTATTTTTTCGAAGAATATCTAAAAGAAACGCTCTAAATTGAACTTAATTTCAAAAGAAAACTGCTTATGTGTCTGTTGGATTTGAAGTTCTTACGACGCTATATAGTCCGATAGAAATAGATGCGTCCATCTTCAGTGTCAAGATAACCCTATGAAGCAAACAAGCAAGTGTCATGCAGCAACGAGACGCCTTGTTTCCTTGCTGAGCTTCTTGGTGCCCCTGAATATGTAGGCAGTACTTTCCCTCGAATCTCAGTGAACATCTGCCAGTTTGCACTGAAGTCCCAGCGGGGCGGGGAGTGATCGTCATGGCTATCTCCATTCTTCGAAGAACTTAAATCGAATTTACTTTTAAAAGTTACTTATTTATCTTTTTATATTGGAATAAAATCCGTAGTGTCATCTGTTATATTTCCTTTGATTTAAATAAAATAATAGAATCATCACTCAACCGACGTTTCGGCATTAGTTTAAGCCAATATGAAAAAAATATCAACTGTTGAACTATGGGCGTCGAAGGATCAGACGGTAAATTCGAAGGGTATAAAGGGAACCTGGCTTGGCTTATTTTTTTTAAGGATTAAGATCGAAGGGCTGGTACTCAGCGACACCTGAGCCTGGCATTTCGCGAGCGTGTGGATTAGTCATGAAGAACACAACAGATCTCTGTGACATGTGAGATTCTCACGCTGGCGATTGTTACATCATACAGGGTGTGTCTTTTCAGCTGGACGGGTGGTCTGCCCGGTAGCGAGCCCCTGCAGCTCCCGTCTCCCGCTAGTCCAACCCCCGTGATCGTTAGCCCCGAGTCGCTCTCTCATCAATCCTCGCCTGCACGCCGCGCCAAGGAAAAAGGACCGTCGCGACCCGGCTCCAGTCGGCAGGGAAAATACTCACCTTCAGTCGGGTGAGTTCTCAATTGGATATCCCTGAAATATGTATGTTGCGTCTAAAGGAATATTTGTTGTGATACTTTCGTTTCCGTCCTGTATAAAACTTTCATTACATGGAACAAGTTATCCATAAAAATTCATCAAAATACGTGGCATAAAATATGGCGTGTTCATAAAAATCTGTTTCAAGTTCCACAATAGACTGTGTGGAATATCTTGCCTAAACGTTTACGAATGTTCCCTTACCGGTTGCAGTCATTGCAGAACCTCACTGAAAACGACAAAACCCTCCGTCTCTCATTCTGTATGGACACGCAGCAGCGGAATGAAGCAAGTAATGATTTCTTTAACCGGCAGTTTTCGGTGACGAATTCCACAATAGTGGTTCGGTGAACAAACACAACGTTCGTATATGGGGACTTGAAAACCCACGAGCTGTACTAGAGCATGTGAGGGACTCACCTAAAGTGCACGTCTTTTGTTCTGTATACCGTAAAAGTGTGTGCCCATGTAAACTTCATGGCGTACTTTTCAAACCATGTAAGTATCTCGGCCATGCTATTAAAACTCTTCCTTCCGTAAAACTTTGAAAGTGTCTGTTTGTTTTAGGCTAACCCTGTATATTTGGTGAATTTACGTACTGTGTTCCATTGTCATTTTGTTACCAGACATGAACAGATTTCTCTCCCGAAATGTTCTGCCGTGGCTCCAGCTCTAGGAGGCGACTCCTATATGCAATATATATGGGAAATTTGTGCACCCTTGAGTTATTATGCCTCTTTATCTATATTGTGGCATATAGACTAGTTCTAGGCAATGGCCGAAAAATAAGGAACTATGCAAGAGCCGTTGTTAGGTAACGGCTGCGCAAACAAGAATGTTTCGACGGCAACAAAGAATACAGCAGTGGTGGAAGCTGTGTTTTCTGTGCGGTCAGTTCCGAATGTCATGGCGTACTTTACGCATGTATAGGCCGCGTGCGTGTATAGGCCGCAGCACAATTTTCAGACAAATTATAGAAAAAATAATTTTCTTGGAATATTATTTCAGGAGTATTACACCCTGTATTACTAATTATGAATATAATTTTTTTTAAATGAAGTGTGATTTCGAATATAAGCCGCACCCCAGTTTTCATCTTGAATTTTTGGCAAAAAATGTACGGCCTATACATGCGTAAATACGGTATATAACGAGGACCAGGTTGCGACGAAAAGGGATCCCAGTGCCTAGGGGTATAACTGGCCCATCCTTGTTCCTGGGGATATAAATACGGGTGCCTGGCCCTCCAGATTGTATGATTCTCGAATCTGAGATAGTAAAATGTGTTGTTGAGTCCCGTGGGATTTGGACCCGAGAATGAATGCGCCGACCAGGGTCAGCAGCAATAGTTAAAGATAGTCTCATCCTCTCGTCTATGGTGGCAAATGTTCTGTTGCTGGTCGTGAGTCTCAAGCGGCTTGTAGCCAAGAGGAACTGACTGGAGGTAAACCGTCAGTCGTAAAGTAACTCTGGCTGTGACTCTTAACTTACTAGATAGTCTTGAGACTGCAGTTAGAAAAGTAGGAGTTTGATGTGAGATAGTCGCCAGCCTGCGAGGACGTGAGCCCGGGAGGAGAGGAGCGTCCGCTCTAGAAAGCTGTAACCAAGCAATGCAGTGGAGACAGGGACTGAGTGTGTGATAATTGATCTGTAAATTGTAGTCCAATAAATCCGATTAACAATTAAAATCCCGTCTATAGTCACACTCAAACACGTGACAATATTATTGCATACCAGTATCAACAGTGAAATATATGACTCTTCGCAGTGTAGTGCAGATGTTTAATATGTTATCAAATATGTTGGAGCAGAGATCTCGCAGTCTGTATAGCCACTGGTTACAGGCTGGACGACCTAGGGGTAGGAGTTCGAGTCTCGGTATAGTCAAGAATTTTCTCTTCTCCACGTCGGCCTGATAGCCTGTGGGGCCTACTCAGCCGCCTGTCCAATGGGTACCCAGGGCTCTTTCCCTTTGGGTAATGTGGCTGGTGCGTGAAGCTGACCACTCATCTCCAACTGATGCCGAGGTCAACAAAACGTGGATCTATAAATCCACTTCCCCATACGTCTACATGGCGTAGTGCTTAATTAGTTAAGGACAGGGACTTCACACTTTTTACGTTTAAACTTACGTAGGGTTTTGGCCGCGCCATAGCTCAAGCTGTTAGTCGCTGGCTTCCCACCGCGGCGGCCCAGGTTCGATCCCATGTCTGGCCAAGTGGGATTTGTGGACAGAGTGGCGCTGGGACGGGTTTTCTCCGAGTACTTAGGTTTCCCCTGCCAATCTTCATGCCACCAATTGCTCCACAATCACCCTCACCTATCATCTGGGGCTGGTACAATAGGCCAGAAGTGACCGCAGTACAAGGGACTTAGTCCCACCCCACTAGCAATAAAAAATATATAGGGTTTGATTTGAGTACATTTTACAGTCGTGGAAAGTACTTCATGTGTCTGTAGTATATTTATTCAGCATTGCAGTTCTCATTTCCATGTATTTGTCAACATTTTTAATCATTCTTCATCTTTATTGTTGGTTTTTGCAAGAAATTGATCGTTGATATTTACATGAACACTCGGGTTTGTTCTGTGTTCATGGGGCTCTTCACCGGAATGGTTATGCTTGAAGGTTCAGACTTGCTGGTTCGAAAATTTGTGGTCAAAATAATCGAGAAAAGTACATTATACTTTATGTATGTCTTGCATCAGCCTTCCGCCGCCGTCTGAGGTGATGGCGCCAGTGTTGTACCACGGTCACCACTCGTTGTCGATGCTGAAGAGACCTTCCCGCATTGAGCAGCTGCAGGTGGACTGGAAGAAACTGGGCACGTAAGTAAGCTATACGGCGGGATTATGGTTTCTTAGTTGCCACCACTGCTACTACTGTTGATAGCGCATGACAAGCGGAAATTACGAAAGTTCCTTTATTTCATCATTTATCCAGTTCTCGCCTTCATCTCTTTCTCTGTCTTTTATTGAATTCCCATTCCTTTTACGTTCTATCATCACTCCTCTCAGCTTCTTCCTTTCTATATAATTTGCCTTCAAACAACTTCCGCACCTCCGCTCTTCCTCATTGATATCCATTTCTTTATCTATTTCCCTTCATTCTCCCATTTTCCTTTCTCCATCTTTTTTACTTGTCATTGTCGTCGTCTGTGTTGTCGCCGTATCCCAGCACAGATTGAAATTAGCTATTATTTACATCAAGTAGATTATTGCTATTGTTATTATTGTGCTGCGCATTGTTTTAGGGACGCCCTGACGTCAACACTATCGGCTCTGTACGGCAAGTTACTGGTGGTGATGGGCATTGCCTTCCCCATGGCTGAGGTCATCTCCACCTATATCCCGCCCTCCTTCTATGAGGTCAGTACACAAGGAGATATGGATTTGACGTCACACGGTTAGAATTCTGTTATTCGGTTCCTTGCCTTCAGTAATACTGAAATACGCACTGGAACCATTTAATATGGGGATCTCTAATTTTGTGTGGTGCATCTGCAGAAAGTTTTCAAATTTTATTTCCTTATCTGATATATTATAACTGTACTTAGGCGTTGGAAGTGAGTCCCCATGAATGGTAGGGATGGTGCGGTTTCCCCTCTCCGCGAACTGCTAATTCCTGTCTGTCCGCCTCTGGCCTATGTCAAACAGCGCAAAGGACTTCAAGTTAGAGAAAGTAATTACTCTCAACATTTCGAGAGGACATAATGGCTGGGCGACTGGAGGGCAATATAGATGGCGCCATTAGAGTTACAGGGAGATGTAGAGGGGTTTTGAGGAAGCACTGAATTGTTGGGTCGGTCACATTATTCAAGGTTGGGATATATATGAGGGTGCGATACCGTCATCTTTGTATACAGTTCCCGTCGTTTTCTACACTCTTAGTCCATAAGTCCTCCAGCTTCCGTTATGTCATTAAAACGATTGTGTGTTAGTGACAAGCCACTCACGCACCGCTTCTTTCACTTGGTCACTGGCGAAATGGCCGCCTCTGAAAGCGTCTTTGAATGGACCAAACATGGGACAGTCAAAAGGAGCCAGATCAGTACCGTACGAAGGATGCTTCAGCACCTCAGATCTCTGTTGTCGGCAGCTTTTAACGGTGTGGGCAGCTGCAGACGGGCGTTATCTTGCGACATTGCGACACCTTTCGACAATAGTCCTGGGCATTTGGTCCAAAAAGCTGGTTTCAACTTGTCCCGAAGTATTTCACTGTGACGGATACAGGTTACTCTTGTGCCTTTTGTCTGATAATGTTCCAGAATTGGCCCTTGTGCATCCCAGGTGCTATCATCGTCACTTTTCCCGCTGGTTGTTGTGTTTTGAACTTTCTTTTGACTGGCGATGTCGGGTATTTCCTTTCCATACTCTGGCGTTTGCTTTCTGGAGCGTCATGGTTAATCCAATACCCGTTCCCAGTAACAAGGAGTCTCAGAAAGTCGCATCAACATTGTTGCGATATCTGTCCAGTAAGTGTTTGCAAACAATTGCGCTTGTGCATTCTTGGGAGTTGTTTTGGAACCAATTTTCACAGACTTATTAAACCCAACTTGGTCTTAGATGATTCCGTGAGCAGAACCACGACTCATGCAAAGAGCATGCGCCACTTCATCGACAGTCACATGTTTGTTACCCATAATCATGGCACGGACTCGTTCGATGCAGTCGATGTGGAAGGGCGCCCTGATTTTTCTTCATCAGTGACAATTGTGCAACCGTTTTTGAATGTGACTGCCCAATTGTACACACCTCGCTGTGATAAAGCACTGCATTCATATTGTGCTGAAAGCCTGCAGTGGATTTCTTGGAGTTTTTGCTTCTACCTGCGCGCAAAATAATCAGTGCAGCCAACACAAGAATCTTTAAAATAAACCATTGAGAAAACTTCATTACTCAAATATGCTGCCTGTGTGTTTTCGGTTGTGTAATCAATGTCACATTTTGTATGGCGGTGCACCTTAATCATGTAAGATACAAATTGTATGAAAATGTTAGACTAAAATGGTAGTTATTCCTGTGGAATTTGTCTCTATCTCTCTCCTTGGTATTTTCTATGTTCTCTGTATTAGAACAATTACACTTGATGGAACCTTAGGTGTTAGAACTTCTTGAAAACTAATTTTTATTTATATTTAGTAGAATGTAATGTACTGAAATTTACTGTAACGTGTCGGCAAACCAGAGGAACCAACATGACAAACAGAAGTGTATAAAAAATCCACTCCATCTGTTAACATGAGCTGATCGTGACGTCAATTCCAAATGAAGTTCAGTGACCGGGGGGGTCAAGTAAACCTATTATTTGTTGCAGGGCTTCTACTTGTACCTGTACTTTGGCAGTATGGTGTTCCTGCTTTACATGTATGCCATGTTACTGAGAGAACGGGCTACACTGTCTGTCAACAGCTCCTTGAGTAAGTGCAAGTTCTGTACTGGCTACAAGTGAAAGCAGTACAGCCTACACATACCAGTTTTCTGTGTGTTGAAGTAAACGTATCTTTTGGTTGTAAAATTTGTAAAGAAAGTTGAGAGAAATGAACTTGTTGCCCAAGTGGTTACTAATGCTGCGGTAAAAAACGCCTGCATGCGAGAAGCAATCCTACTCTTTTGCTGAGATTTCTGTTGTCATGTAGTATGTACAAATTCCACCCTCATAATCCTTTAAAGTTAAGTGATGAACATATATACCACCAGTTGTAACATTAAAAAGCTTTTGCATTCTGCTTACACATCACGTGTTTCGTATGATTCTTGCAATAAGCAGGGGTTATTTCTCTAAACAACAGTAACTGGTTGGTCTTTGTAATGAAGACAGTGTAATTTCTGTGAGGTAGAAGTTGAATATTTAGATGCATTTCAGGCCTCAGAGGGTTAAAGTACACAACTTTAATTCGAGTCCTAGACGCCAGTTCGACAAAATGAATAGGGAGAGAATAAAACTACGAGCCTGGGAAGTTTCGAGCTCAGTGTTGGTACTCCTACTCAGGGCGATCGCGAGGCGGGGATTCGTCAGGCGAGAGTGTGGCAGATTCTTCAGAGAGCGGCGGTGCGGTCCCTCAACAGCACACGGACACCGAGTTGAGTACCACTGCCACAGAGAGCCGCTACCATCGAAGCACAGAAGCGGGCGCGCCTGCGCAAAGCAAGCGAGACGCACATGACGATCAGGTGTACCAACAGCAGCACTACGGCAGCTTCTATTTGCGTATGGGCGCTGTCGGTATGTCGCCTTCTTCGTTTGCATTATTTGTGTCTTATTTAAAGTAAACTCTCGCTAATCTGGTTCAATTCTGGGGAGGTCGTCCGAATTAATGAAGCAAAAGATAGCCATAGAGGACAAAATACTTAGAAAAAAATAGATGCAAATTTAATAATATAGGTAGTGCCGATGAAAAGAAATAAAAAATATCACTGCAACAATTTCGTCCTCTGTCAGAAGCTGAAATCCAGTTTCTTCTTCATACAGCTAAAACCAATCTTGGATAATTTCATGTGTGGTTTCAGTCTCTGCAGCTGCCCTCTCAATACACTCTTAAACCCCTCTTTCTCCTAAATCCCGTGTATTTTTAAGTGTACTCAACCGTGACCAGAATTTTATATTTTACATACGTCGATCCGGATTAACTTTTACCGGATTATCGAGGGTTTCCTGTGTTTGCTTATTTTCCCTGTTTATAGCTTAACTGTTCCACTCTTTCAGTAGCTCNATATATATATATATATATATATATATATATTGTGGCATGTAGACACGTTGCTAGGCAACTACCTAGAAATAAGCAACTATACAACAGCTGTTGCTAAGTAATGGCTCTGCAAATGATAGCCGTTTACCTTGCAATTGCTCAGTCAGGATCACGTGGGAACCCAATAGATACGAACGCAGGCCGAGATGTTATAAGCGGGACAATTAGTGACAGTTAGTCAGTGGAGTGGAGTGGAGTAAGTTGGTTGGTGAGTGACTTAGTCGAGAGTTTCTGTATCTGAGACCGGGACCAGTTCGGGAACGCAGAGTAAGGGGAACGTCCGCCATTGGAAGCCGCTACAAAGCAACGGCTAGGGAAGACTGAGAAGACTTTTTATGTGCTGTAGTTACAGTGATCTTCGGAATGTGTAACTCAGTGAGAATGTTGTAATTACATTCTGTAAATATTCAATAAATCAGTTTACCAATCCAAACCCCATCTGTAGTCACTCGTACACACGACATTATTAACTGACTCCACGAATCAGATCCCCTCACGAGGAGATAGCAGTTTATCACAAAAATGTAGAAATGCCCAGAATTTTATGGAAACCGAAGCTTCATTGCCGTGTTCGCCAGAGCCCGCCAATGGTCTGGATTCAGAGCCAAGTTAATCTAATCCACAACCCCGCATCCATTTCGTTGCGATAAATTTTAATAACATAATCCATCTATGTCTTTAAATCTATCATGTGGTCTTACCTTCGAATTTTTCTGCCTGAATATTGTATGCGCTTCTTTTTTCTCTCATGCGTAGGCATGCTACATGCCCTGCCTATCTCATCTTCTCGTTTTGATCATCCTATAATATTCAGTAAAGAGTACAAGTTACGCAAATTTTTATTGTACGGCTTTGTCAGTCCTCCTGTTACTTCTGTCTCTTACATCAAAATATTCTCCCCAGCTGTTGTATATTTGCACATCTCGTGGCCGTTGCCCCGCACCTGCTATACTTACAACAATACATATAATGATTATCTGTCTATCTATTTGACCATTCATCTGTGCGTCTTGCCACACCTTTTCCGACAAACAGCGCATCATAAAACTATGGCAAACGCAAAAGATGTGCCTCTTTGAGGGGCGACCCCAATTGCAAGCATGGGTTCGCTTCCAAGTAAATATCTTCTTCATGTATATATTGCTTCCATAAAAAAAGCATTGTATTCATGACAACAATGAGTATGCAACCTTCACACATCTGAAGAGCAACCATGGTAATGAGATCTGTTCAAAATAAGATATTCCAGGATGTTTTCATTCTGTTTATTGTTAAGAAGTTTGTTGCTTATTCTAGTAGATACATTAGTAGTGCACTACTGTTCTGCGCACGGTAGAACCCAAACTTAGGTCCTTAGACGACCAGCCTCTCCGGAATTCTGTTGTGTCATCTGCCGTGAGACCGTGTGGCGCAATTTTGCAGCGTTTGGAATTGGCAGCATGATCTACTCGGGTTTGGAGTTCGGGCAGTACTTTGAAGTAGAGCGAGACACCAAGTGCCACAACGTGCTGCTCGCTCTCACACCTGCCACTCGAATGGCATTCACCTTCATACAGATGTACTTCATCTTCCTCAACAATGAGGTGAGAGCAAATAAACTATTTGAACAGATTTTTATTAAATTTGGCATTGGTGGTTTTACCCTATAACATGCTGCACACAGATCAGTTAACAGCACTTACTTTAATTGAAGTTCATTGATTTTCTCAGAAAAGCCCAGAGTGGTATATTACATGAGATTCAGACTTTTAAAAGGTATATTTTTTATTTTGAATATATTTACATGTGATGAATATTTAACAAAATATCACACAGTAGCCAGCCAATTCTACAGAGCAGAGCCCTTGTTCAGAAGTCAATAATTGCTCGTGTACTCAAGGTACTCCGAGTGTTTTCTGGAGCTGCCGTATTCACAAGTGCTGACACTGACCCCGGTTCCGAGTCAAATACTTTAAGACCCATTTCCGCATTCTTCTTCATCAGTGCTTAGGATGCTGAAGATGTCCCCTTCCATCAGAATTTTTGACGAAATTTTTGTAAGAATTTCCGTTTGCCCCCATCCACACTTCATGTCGCGCCCACCCCATCCTCGTTGATTTGATTGTCTAATAATATTTAATGAATGGTATAAATCGTGAAGCTTCTGATTATGAAATTGTCTCCGGTCTCCTGTTACTTCATCCCTTTTAGGCCCAAATATTCTACTCAGCACAATGTTCTCAAGCATCCTCAGCCGATGACCTTGCACTAATGTAAGACATTAAGTTTCACCCCCATACAAAACTGCAGAAAAGTTGCATGTCAGCATATTTAATCACTTGTGTTTTGTTTTGTTTTGTTTTTTTTAATTATAAAGGAAAATAATTTCTGTGTTCAGTATGACTAATTTTGCAAAGTTATGTTAATAATCCTCTAAAATGAGGATGAGGGTAAAACGTATTTATCATGCTCAAGAAGGATTATTTGTTATGTGTTGTGTGCAGCATATGAAGGTTTGGCACTTGTGTGTTGTGTGCAGCAGATGAAGGTTTGGCACTTGAGTGTTATGTGCAGCAGATGAGGGTTTGGCACTTGTGTGTTGTGTGCAGCAGATGAAGGTTTGGCACTTGAGTGTTATGTGCAGCAGATGAGGGTTTGGCACTTGAGTGTTATGTGCAGCAGATGAGGGTTTGGCACTTGTGTGCTGCGTGGTGCAGCACTAGTTGCGTGTTGTGTGCAGAAGATGAAAGTTTGGCACTTGTTGCATGTTGTGTGCAGCAGATGAAGATCTTGCACTTGTTGTGTACTATGTGCAGCAGATGAAGGTGTGGCGGCACCGCGCTCTGGCCCGTTTCGGACTCATGCACATGATTGGCACCAACCTGTCCGTCTGGCTCAACGTGTTAGTGCAGGAGACGAAGCACGAGATCTTGACGTTCTACGACCCTGAGAACAACACGCTCGGCATTTCTCACCGCCTCTGTAAGTGATGGTTAAATGATGTAGCTCTCCCTATGAGTCCAATATATACATACAAATTTTGTCGGAATTTCTCTTACAAATTGTCATGTCAGTACTCGTACAAATGATGGAGATTTGCCATCGGCAATTGGCATCCGTATCATATGTAGTTTGTATCTCTCTGTGAAGAAAGAAAGATGTGTAAGTGACTGTTACATCACTAGAATGTGTCTTTATGCTCAATGGAAGTGACAATAACAGCATCAGCCTTCTTTAGACTACATGGCTAAAGCACGCATGCGTTGCCAGTGGTCACTGTCTGGACAAAATGGGAATGAAAGTGAGGTTACTACTTCTATACCTGATACAGTATATGTGTATATGTGGTAGCATTCTCATTTAGAGGGGAACTTAAACAGCTCTTTAACGACCGCGGTTAAGTGACAACAGTAGATCGAAGTGATGACAGTAATTTTAAATTTTATCAAGGGTCAACGCAACGCGGCAAAGGTCCACGTTATTTTTTTATAGGAAACAAATATCACAGCCAACTTTCATTCCTCACAGAAAGAAAATGGTCTTGTGGGAATACCATGGTATCTGTGTGTTCTCCTTTTAACCTATGAACAAGTTTTCTGACTTTCACGAATATTGGTATGAACCTTATGCCAATGTAGCTATCTGAACATTGTGCTTCTTATTGTCCTATCATTAGCAGGAATAACATGGCAGAAGCGACTCTCGTAACATTGAATACAGGGACCTATTATTATTATTATTATTATTATTAATATTATTGTTGTTGTTGTTATTATTATTGTTGTTGTTATTATTATTATTATTATTATTATTATTATTGGAGGGGGTGGTTTCCCCATGCACCGCGACTAATAGTCTGTTGTACGTTCCCCTTTGATATTCTACCAGTCGCCATACCCTTCCGGTACTGGTGCTCGCTATCGGCCCCGTTCAACCAGCGAGGTTGGCCCTCTACTGGCAGTGGTACCCGATACTTCCCCATCTACCGGAGGCATTGGAAACTACTTGGGCGTGAAACTTTTGCCTAATTTTGCTCAGAGGTCTCCTAGAGACATGAGGATCTACAACACGGAACCCACGGCTTAAAGTCCCTCCCGGAGGAGTTGTTCCCTGAATTTTTCCGCCCTTAAAAATTCCACGACCTCCGCCGGGTTTTAACCCGCGTACCTTGAATCGTGAGGTGGGAACGTTACCCCTAGACTACGGAGGCCGCTATACAGGGACCTAAAATGATGCATGGTAACATATGCAACTTTGGTTGAGGTAAATTTCTGTCTTATAAACAAAATTCTGACTACGTGAAATATCATTTCAGCTTCCTTAACTGAGATAATCAGAGAATCAGCCGAAAATTACGAATTAAATATTCAAGAATACGGTCTTGTAAGTTGTAATGCAGTGTTTCCCCTGTCAATTCTCATTTCACCTATTGCTCCAAAATCTTCATCACATATCCGGGGCTGGTACAGTAGGCCAAAGAGTGAACTCAGTCTCAGCCAATGAAGGGGCGAAAAGGCTTGAAACTTGAATCGTTATATTTAAACCTCGGTCTCCTTTATGAGACGTGTAGAGGAATCTCAAGGAATGTTCAAACCTATCCCCGAATTCATTCAGTTTCTCTGCGGTGAACAATCTACGTTTTGCTTCTTTTCTTTGTATTCAAAAAGGACCCTATCAGTATAAATTCATTTATCACTGAAAGAATAGTTTTCTTTGGGACACGCGGTAGCGCATTTGGTTGAGGCACTATGCTACAAGCCGGAAGGTCACGGGTTCGATTCCATATGAGGTATTTTTCAATTGGCCTAATGCTTCTAGCTGCACGATGGCCTCAACCTCTAACAGAAATGAGTACCAGGAATCTTCCTGGGGGTGAAGAGCGCCCGGCGCATAAGGCTGTCAACCTTAGCGCCATCTGTGATCCAGGTGTCTAGAAAATGTGGGAGCCTCGACGTCTCACAGCCCTATAGCCCTCCGAGGCCCGTTACAGGGATAGCTTTACCCTTTTTCTGTTTTTTTGTGGATCTCAGAACTTAATATTTCACATCCTGATGGAATCTGTTTTATTGGAGTCTGGTCAGTACCGGGAGAGTTACACTATCAGCTTTGCAATAGCAATTTCAGCCTCAAAGAGACTAGGCTCAGATACTAACGGTTCAGCTGTGCGTAGCTCTCCCTGCCTAACATACTGACCTTATGTATATTAAATAACTGAGAGAAGTATTCCACGTATTCAAAATGGTGTGGGAATCTACAATCAGATAATCCTTCTCAGCATTTACCAAGTTAGTTCTGGATTGGTAACCCTTATTAAATTAACTTATTCGTCTATATAAGGCTGTCGTCTTGTTCCTGCTGTGAGTTGCAAGCAAATTCATTTTATGTTCCGGTTAAATACAATTGTGTGAGAGCGTCAGAATTTTTGCGCAATGCGTATATTTCTTAACGGATCCTGTATATCGGGGACCGAAATATTCCTCATTGTTCAGGTGTTCACTTGTGAAAATTTGACGCGTTTCATTTGTCATCCTGCCACTGACCGACAGCAAGTAAATGGGTGCCTAGTACTGGCCGGTGAATACTGCGTGTGATCTGGACCATTGCACGCGCGTTCCGTAGCCCTGGGGGTGGGACTCCCAGAATGCAGAGCGCCCCCGTACCTGCTGCAGCGTATTGATCAGACTGACACGTGCCTGACACCGGGTGTTCACAAACTTGCTTCACACCCCACCACCCCAACCCTAAAAAATTGGGAGAAAGGCGAACCAAACAACGACTATTGATTTGTTTTGTTTATTTATTTATTTGTGGTTAATTTAACGATCAGTAGCCCAGAGTATATAGTGTAACATGGTAGGATGATAATTAATTGAAAAATATGTGGTACCAGTATACAGTGAAACAGTTTTAGATACATTCTCGGCATTTGCCTAAACGGCACGGACCTTACAGAAAATATCTCTTCCATTGTTACGTGTTCTGTCGTTGCCAGAAAACTTATCTTCATAGTTGTTTCCCAGAAACTGCTGCTGTACGGTCGGCTGTTTACACAACTTTTACTTGGCAATGGGTCTGCATGTCCCATTATGGACTCTGGGGGCACCCAGTCTCCTCGACGCTTCTTAAGAAACTGTGTTAAAATGTCCCACATAACGGGATACGTTCCTTGTCGTGCATTTATGATCATCGTCCGATATCTCACTCAGTGCTACAAAAAGTCAGAACTTGATAAAGAGTTGTAAAATATCTGGGAATCCATAAAATGGAATAGCCATTTGATTTTCGCCTTAAACCTATCAAATTTGTTATCATTTATGTGTAATTCCTTTTTCTTCTTCGATAACTGTCATCATAGCGATCAGTAAATTATCGAAGTGAAGTGTTAATTTTTTCTCAAGAACATTTAACATTAAGTTCCAAATTAAGAAGGAAAAAAGACTGCGTCTCTATTGCAAAGCCCAGCTGAGGGAAATAATCGCTTTTTCTTGTGAGAATCACACCAGACACATAAATGCGCTCTGTGGGCATAATGGAGTTTGCCCTTTAAAGAATAAAGGTAGCTTTGGGAAGTTTGAGTGATGAAGTCAGTAAAGCAATACTGTGTGGGAGACTGCGGTGTTGATATTACTGATGGGAGTGCTTTATGAAGTATGTTGTTGAAATGGCCTCGGTTGACGTGATATACATACCACGTTCATAAAGATTGGTACAGGTGTTCAAGCAAAATTAAGGTTTTGTCTCAGAAATTTGAGAAGCTGTAATGTTGGTATTACTGATGTGCTGGTTATGATGTACGCCATTGAAATGGCTTTATATGGCATTATATGCTTACTAAACTTCATGGTAATTAGTACAGGCGTTCAAGCAATAATCAGGTTTTGCCTCAGCAATTCGAAAGGCTGTAATATTGATATTCATTGTAAGAGGGTTTTAAGATATGGGCTGATGTGGCAGGATATACATACGAAGTTTCATGACGATCGGTTCAGGCATTTAAGTAACATTACGGTCATTATAGCACCAATTTGAAGTCATGTAATGTTGGTATTACTGATCGAAGGGATTTATGAAGAATGCCTTTGAAGTTGGTTCATATGGCATTATATACGTACCGCGTTCTAGCAGTTTTTCCTAAAAAAAATATGAGGTCTGTAATATTGGTATTACTGATGAGAGGGATTTATGAATTACGGTGTTGAGATGGGCTCAGGTGCTATGATTTACATACGAAGTTTCGTAAAGAGATTGTCATTGGCATCACCCCCAATTAATGCCTGGACAGTGAAATGATTGCCACAGTTCCGTTTGCTTGCAGCACTGAGAATGCACCCGACACCTATGCCCTCCGGCGCGGCCGTCGTGACGTCCCATCCGCATCACCGCGTGGAGCGGGGCCTCAAAGGACCGCATCACATCTACGAGTGCAGACGCACCAATATCATGGGTTCCTTGGTGCAGGATGCCAGCCCCTTCCTCTTCCCATGCACCATCGAGTATTCACTCATCTGCGCCGCCATTCTCTACGTCATGTGGAAAAACATCTGCCGAACGTCGACAGCGCAGGGCGCGTCTGGGTCACGCGTGGGTCGCCAGGGTCTTCCTCCACAGGCTGCCTACAAGAGGCACCCTCACCATTACTCAGTGGACTGCGCACGCGCACATAAAGGCCTGTTTGTAGGAATCCTGGTACTCGTGCTCACCATCATCTCGCTTATACTGTTCTTCGTCCTCATCTCGCGTACCGAGTTTAGGAGCCTGGCGGTAATGGAGGTCAACATCTGCGAACTCACACTCTACACCATGACCACCATAGCAACTCTCGTCGGCATGCTCCAGGTACGGTCCAACTGCCAGGCTTAAGCAGCGTACTTCGACATGTTTAAACCCCTTCAATGGTTGATAAATTTCGAAGTATTCGTCGACAAATTAGATGAATGTATCACGTGACACAGAATTGCTGTTCATTTTCCTAGCACAGTAGGCAGCAGAAACACAGCGAGAGAGGTGAAAGAGAAAAATGTGATCATGAGTCTCGCGGAACCCCGGCGGGGGCCAGCAGTAATTTACTGGAAACCTGGCGGAAGCGCTGGTGCCTCGAAAGAAGTCCCATGGATAGTAGGGACGGTAGTGCGCGGGGTTTCTCCCTGTCTTCTGTCTGTCCCATTCCCCTCACGCGATCTCTGCAGCATGTCAACCAGCACAAAGTCCGTTTTGTTAGCCAATGTTTCCATTTATGAACGAAGATGTGTCCTCGGCAGTTAGTGACGTAAACCGTTACTTTATCATTGCAGAAGTACTAGATTATATTTTAAGCAAACACCCCCTGGCCGCGCCATAGCTCAGACGGTTAGTCGCTGGCTTCCCACCGTGGCGGCCTGGTTTCGATCCCGGGTCTGGTCAAGTAGGATTTGTGGTGGACAAAGTGGCGCTGGTGCAGGTTTTCTCAGAGTACTTCGGTTTCCCCTGCCAATCTTCATTCCACCAATTGCTCCACAATCACCCTCACCTATCATCTGTGGCTGGTACAATAGGCCAGAAGTGGCAGCAGTACAAGGGACTTAGTCCCACCCCATTAGCAATAAAAAAAAGGCCCCTTACCAATAACTTTTTGGGAAATTCAAACTTATTTACACAGGACTTTTCTCTGTACGGTTGCCTGGTCTGTAGAGTAGACAGACATTTCGTGGCTAGACGACCGGAGAGGAATATAGGGAAGTGCGCAGGAGGGGATAGGTAACAGCCAGAGAGAGATGTGGGACTCCTTCCTCCGGCTGAGTATAAATATTTTTTCATCGTACGACGCCGAGACCAAAAAACCTGCAGCGTGGAAGGGGAAACTGTTAAGTGAGAAGTTGATGGATGCGCGCGCTTCTCATCAGCGAAAAGATCGAGGTCTTTATGGAAATATCTCGCGATATCTTGTCATTATTAGGCATTCTTTAAACAGTATAAAGCAGAATGCCTTATGCCGATTCCTTGCCTTTCTGTCCGTCAATGGTGGAACAGGATTGAAACCTTTGGAGAGATTTATTTTGTTTTTATAAGGGATGAGTTCACATAACGGCATTTCAGAAGACCACTGAAATTCATATTTCAGCAGCATAATAATTCACAATGTCCAATTACAGCAAAATCTGTGAAATGGTTTATTTTCATGGAAAGTAGTGGGTCTGGAACGGGGTCCACTCCGCCTCGTGACGATAATTGAGGAGCTATTTCAAGGAAATGACGGCTCCGGTCTAGAAAACCAAAATTAACGGCCATGGGGATCCGTTGCGCTAACTATGCGACACCCTCTATCCGCTAAAGTTGGCACTAACTTCGCCGACAAGCGGCGGTCGCTCGGTCAGTATAGCTCGCTTGCGGACTAAAATCACGGATTTTTTTTTTATGACATTTTGTATAAAGGGCTTTTTAATGAGGCAGTAATGGTCAGTATCTTGTCATAAGGCTAGCGGTATACACAGGTTTCTCATGGTGAACTTCAGAAATATTTGGTTAACAGATTATGATATACCGTGCATGAAAAGATCGAGTTCTGATACCCTCTGCATAGAACTTTCGTCGCTGTGGCTGGGCAACGGAATTGCCGCTGTTGCTACATGACTCTTGTAAGAACCGTATTACGAATTATTATTATTGTCATTGTCATGTGACTCGTGCGAGAGGCACGCTCTTTGTACAGGTACGCCAGCTCAAGTACGACGGAGGCCGGAACTTGGAACTGGACAACATTCTGCTGATCGGAGCTCAGACTGGCATGTTCATCTACAGCACATTCACGATCATCGGTGGCCACTTCACGATCGAGAAGAACACAGTGCTCGTGCTCATCACGGCGCTGGCGTCTCTCCTGCAAACGACATGTCAGACAATGTTCGTGTTGGACGCGTCCCGACGCTCATGCGTGACGCCCGAGCAGATCCGTCGGAAGCCGGGGAGGGAGCTCGTTACATTCCTGCTGGTGACCAACCTTGCTATGTGGGCCATCAACACCCTGGAGAAGTCGCGCGCGGAATCTCACCCCATTCAGCTACACTTCTATGGGCTGTGGGCCTGGACCATCATCACGCACGTGTCCATGCCGCTGGCCATCTTTTACAGGTGTGATCACTTCCTGATACCTTGAAATTCTCCTTTCTTTATTAGCTTGCTTTCCTTATTTTGAAACAAGAATTTCTGGGAAGATTTAATCGCCTGCGTTCCTTTCACTACCTATTAAGTATTTTATACGACACGAACCGCATAGAAAATACCATGTCTGACAGTTATACATGCAATTTTTGCGTGTGTATTCGTTTTCTCTGGAACGTGTTACAGAACCGTTGCCTAACAAGTTCCTCTTTTCAGGCTCCAACATTCCGGCTTTTAGGCATCCTATCATACTCCCTTCTTAAGACTGCTCGTCCCGAGCATTCTACATGCGTACCGCTGTTCTCCAACTACTCCCTCCTTAGGGCCGCTCCTCTCAAGCAGTCATTCAAAATTTGTTGGGGGGAAGGAACACAGACACAGACTAGCAATGGTCAGGAAATATGATTACCGAGCCGTTGCCTAGCAATGATAGGGGATTACACAGCCAAGTTGATCTCATTGGCCTTCTTTTGTTTTTTTCGAAATAACGAAAATAGGCTAAAAACAAAAAGAATCTTATGAGATCACTTTTTTGCGTGTCTGTCTGTCTGTCTGTTTCCCCTCTTTCAACTTTCAAATGCCATGGAATAACATACACCATGGAAGTGCCAGTTTGCACTATATTTCATACTGACCTTGAGTTAAGCTGCTGTCAGATGACCTTAGGATTTTTGGTATAAACATTTTTTCTTTGTCACAACGAACTCCCTTATCGTGGAGGGTGTAGTTGTTCAGCTGCCAAGTACATCCCTTACCTTTCCAGAAGCCAAGGGTTAGTTGACGTGTTCATAAGAGCCTACCACTGGTATATGGCGTGATAAGATGACTCTATTCCATACCATTTAACACTGTTTCCGTAAGATTCGTTTTAGTATTACCCTCCTGTCTACGCTTAAAAGTATTCCAGTTGATCATTTACCTCTACGCTTTCAGACCAAAGTTTTGCACACATTTCTGATTTATCATATACCCGTATGTGTTACATGACCTACCCACTCCTGCAAATCAGTTTTCTTTTAACTGAGAAATGACACAAAGCGAAGGAACCGAGCGGAAAATAACAGAGTAACGTAACAATAAATGCGGAGCAACTAAGCAACTATCAATTTCTCAAAGAAATCCCTTCTCCACGATGTAACTGAGACACCGAAATCACCCGCGACGGCGTCATTGACCTCAAATCCTATATCAGAACATTTACACTGAATGTTGGCTTGGCCCTGTCCATTCAGTATACATAAACGTGTCCCTGTGCTAAATGGAGTCCCACGTGATGAATACATATGGGGAATGGAGGCATAGCTCCATCGTAGCTTCATCATAGGATGGAGATATGTGGCTAGATTCAGGCCTGTGCCGCTTTTACTCTCGTTAACTTTATATATAAGACTGGATGGACCCCCAGAACCTATGTGATCGCTTTGAGGAAGAGAAAAATATATCCCCTGCCACAGTCAAAGCTCGGGTATTAGGCCGGGCCACGCTACAAGTCAAAGTCAAAGTTATGTTTCACCTGACGGTCAGTCAGTCTGTCTGTCAGGGGCTCATGAATTCTGCCTGTCTTGGTGTCAAGCCCCAGCTGGGGCTCATGACCAGATGTTTCTTTTTATACGAAAGTTACTGTCCTGTCCATGTGGGGCGCCCTCTCTGACGAAAGGTCGGGTCTGTCATTTGTGAGTCGTATTCAGTAATATTAAGTCTATTCTACCTACATGTGCTTGTCTTATATTCGCAGGTTCCACTCGACAGTCTGTTTGTGCGAGATCTGGAAGCGCGCCTACAAGATGAAGCCGACCTACATGTAGAGAAGCTGGATGGAGTAGCACCCCTTTCAGCAGACCAGTGGGACGCTAGGGCGCCCTGCAGCTGAGAGGTTCCCTTAACATCCACCTTGCGCGCAACACTAGAACTGTTCTAACGTTTTCACTGCCAAACCCGAATATTCTCGTTGCTCATTATCGCGAAGACTAAGACGAGTCTATATGATTTACCGCCGTAATCGCAGAAAAATATTAAATGAAACAGAAGGATATGTAAGCCTTAACGCTTCTAAGGTCTTCGCCCGAGTAATGCAAAGTTGTTGAAGCTTGGCCACTGATCGGCTTATCCTACGGTTTTTATCTTAGCCTGCTTCTGTCCATACCGTCATGCAGCAGAGCGTCATGTGATTTTAACCTGATGGCCATGTCGGCACTCTTAGCCACTAGAAAATATTGCTTTGTGCGGTCCTTACATCTAAACGTAGATATTCTTAGCTGCCCCGAAGAGTGTTGGAGGTTTTATTTTCACAGTAAACAACCTAATATTTCGGTATGGCCTAACTTAATCCGTGGTAAGACATTCTAAATCCAGCGCGGAATTAGGTAGGTCCTTTGTGCTCCACGTCCAATGGGGAGTCTTGCTAGTATATGTTTTGCAGTTATGTTTTATCAGGCTTTCTTCATCTACCGCTGGTGATGTAACCAGGGTAACAAGCACAGACTGTGCCTCTTCGTAAGAGAGAATTTGGGCCTCTCCATAGCTCAAGTGGTTAGTCGCTGGCTTCCCACCGCGGCAGCGGCCCGGGTTCGATCCCGGGTCTGGTCAGGTGGGATTTGTGGTGGACAAAGTGGCGCTGGGGCAGGTTTTCTCCGAGTACTTCGGTTTCCCCTGTCAATCTTCATTCCACCAATTGCTCCACAATCACCCTCACCTATCATCTGACTCTAGTATATGGCGCAACATTTTCTAACGATGGTTTTGTTTTCATTAGTTTCGAAACTTCGATTTCGAGCCCCCCACAAGAGAGTAACCGTGTCTATTTCTATGCAACTTAGTGCGAATCCTGAAATTCCACACGTAATTAGTATTAATCGTCAACCTCGCCCGGTATTACAGAATAAGATATTTATAAGAATGTGTTACAGAAGGCCGGATGGACTTTGCCTAGGGCTTTCCTGTATTTACAGTAATTTTTATATAATAAATAATTTCTTTCAAGCCGGGCCAGATGAGCATTGCTAAGGCCATTTTTGTATATACGTGAACCTTCTTTATTCAAAATAAAACATCTTTCAAGAACCTACATTTTGGGACCACAGAATTTGCCGCCGGTAGTGTGGAAGGGATACACACTCGTATCTGTTCATCCTGTCTGGCTTATAGATACCTGCAAAATATTCGCAAACTTTATGTGCTGATGGCCATGCTGCCAGTGTAGTACTTCTACAGCGCACTGGAACTAGCTTTTGACCGAATGGAACCTCTCAGCTGCTGAGTTATGTTCACGAACTTTGTAATTAGACTTTTTTTTCGGTAATTGGGTGTTATAACAGATATGTAGTTGTAAGGGCCACGTTCTCTTCCCAAACGAAGGAACAAACACCAATATATTTCTGTTATCGTCTTCCCAGTAACAATCAGTACAAATGACACAGTCGGGAACAACATTACCGCATATTCAAATTTTAGAGACTGATACTTTCCTTGCCAGTCCCGTCAGGCATTCACGTGTACCATTCTAGTTATCGTTGCAGCCGCTAGGGGCGGTAGCGAACCAGTCGTAACGATAATATCGCCTTTTTCCATATACTTCTTATACAATATTGTCTTTCTGAATGTTTTTTCAAACAGAGACCAATTTATTTTATAGCATATGGACGATGTGTGTTTAATGTATGTACAGGATGTTCCAGAAATTTGTTATACACGTTCTACAATTTTTACTTCCTGCATGATTTGCTTTCTGGACCAGTCTGTACACTTAACTGTTGGTATCCATGACAACGGTTACCAAAGCAAACGGAGTTAGATTAGATTTGTTGCTGTGGCAACGAGGTGCATTTCATTGTTACTTCTCAGTGTTTGTGTGTATTTGTGTAATATATTTTGTATATAAGCATTGCGATAGAACAGAAATTTTATTATGTAATTGATGTACAATATACGCACATGAATTGCTTGTTCATTGAGATGAAACTTGGGGCAGGAACCACGTCAGTGCAACCCGATGTGTGTCTAGGGAGCTCATTTACTCATGTAATTTACGCCGCCACACAAGTTGTAAATTCTTTGCCTATTTATTTTCTTCTAATCTTGTTAGTTCGCACAGCAAACTTAAGAGCGGGAAACAGGGCGGCAGCTCCACAGTGACGTCATGGTCGAACGTGTGTATACTCTGTCGTCCTTGCCCTCGTTTTATTGAAATCGCCATTTAATGTTCAGTTTTATATACCTGTCTCGCGTTATCAGTCGAATCCCTGGGGCCTAGGAAAAATTAACGATCCTGATATTTGGCTTATAAATATAGAATTTACACTCGACAATTTGAGAAATGTCAAAATGGGAACGCTGCAATACGTCACGCAGTTTTACTTGCCGTTCCTTGTGCTTTGCCATTCGAATGTATACACATTTCGTAGTCCTGTAAATTGTTTTTTATATTGCTACTGGGGTGGGACTAAGTCCCTTGTACTGCGGCCACTTCTGGCCTATTGTACCAGCCCCAGATGATAGGTGAGGCTGATTGTGGAGCAGTTGGAATGAAGATTTGCAGGGGAAACCGAAGTACTCGGAGAAAACCTGCCCCAGCACCACTTTGTCCACCACAAATCCCGCTTGACCAGACCCGGGATCGAACCCGGTGGGAAGCCAGTAACTAACCGCTTGAGCTATGGCACGGCCCTGTAAAATGTGTTACTCCACTAACATTTATGTTGTTAACAGTAATATGGTTGCTATAATTACCGCATTAATTATAATGGTATAATTAATTATACTGGTAGAGTCGCTCGCACCTCAAAAGTTTGTGCCCCCCCTCGCCACATTCTTATTACCGATTTGAGAAGATTAAAATTTTACGAATTTCTGGTAGCATGAAGCACGTACCAAATTTCATCAAAATCCGCCCAAGGGACGCACCTTACATCCCTTTATGCGTTATTTTCTTGCACGATGTGCAGACAATGCCTCTAAGAGGATATAATACGCGAGCAGATGTGACACCAACAATATTTCGGATGGTACCACCGTAGGAACCCGTAGTGTAGACATCAACTTTCCGTGACTTTTTCGAAACTTATTTTACAGAGCGGAGCTTTTGCTAAGTCCCGTGACTGTACACCGTATTGCCTGTGAGCTGTCCTGCGCCTGCTCTGTGCTGAGATTTGTTTACTAATGTAGCTGTGTGTGGTTGGCAGCAGTGCTGGCCTCCCCTTTACGAGATATGTTTCCTGAACAGTTGAAGCCCCTTTGTTCTATGAGATTTGTATATATATATTATTTAATAAGGACGTGATTGTTCTTGCTTCTGTTGCCCGCCCGGTCCGCGCACACCGCTTGTCCTTACAAGCAGTAAGTATCTCCCCGCGCCGATCTGTAGCTTTAAAGTTCGTGGTTTCCTTTGTAACTCCGACTGTTTATTTAGTTGTTAACACTTAAAACACCCAGAGCGTACTTATGTCACTGGTTTCCAAAGTGTCCGTGTGGGGATGGGAAAGGGTTAGGGTTAGTCTGTAAAACTGGGTGGATTGTATTTCTCGAAATATAATGCTTCTAAAATTTTGATGAATATTGACTGATAAAAACATAGAAAGGGTCGATTTTAAAAATTAAAAAAAAAAAGTTACTTTTCTCACACAAACACGAATTTAAGAGGGGGGGCAAAAATGTCTTTACCAAATTGAGGGGGTATTATAATGTAAAGTTTGGAAACCGCTGCTGTATGTAACCTCTCGCAGCCCCCGACATCGCCAAAGCTCCCTTCCCCCCGCGCTCCGCCAGTCAGAGCAGTCCCTCACGGCCGCATTTCAGGGATGATTCTCCAGTTCTGTGCTGCTATTTCACTACCTCTATCCGGCCTTGCAATCATCATCATTCTTTGGCATTTTTTCGTTCCTCATCACGTGATCTGCATACTTTACTCTCCCTAGAAGTTTGAAAAACCTCACGAAGTTCATCGTTCTGCACTAACCAGACTCTCATCTGAGTTAGTGTCCGCCTAATTAAAATTTGACAGACACAGGGTGCAGTTCCCTTGGCGTCTGGGGCCTCTCTAGTCCGAACCTGCTCTCACTGCCATATGCCAGAGAAGCGAGACATGTCAGTCTCTCAGAAGTGGAACCCCCAATTTGGATAACTAGCAGCCTGGTAGATGCTCACCGACATTTCGGAAGAACTTCCTGCCTGCATCTTCGTGGTTTAATATTAAGCTAGGCGATCTTGAAATTTGCGCACTTCTTGGTTTCCTCTCGCAGCAGTCTCAGCTCCTGGATGATAGTAATCCTGTGTGTTGTTGGGGTTGTATTGTGTCACGTATTGCATAAAATACACCGAGAACCAATAAACCAGGACAAGAAAAAGAGAAATACAGCAAACCCTCGCTGATCCGGTTAGAGTTAATCCGGATCGAAATGTGAAAAATGCTTTTCATGGTTGAGTACATTTATTAAAAGACATATGACATTTAGGAAGGAAGACGAGTCACTTATCTGTCCAGACTAAACTTGACAGTTTCTTCAAACCTGCATATTACGTTCAGAAACCAAGTACAACATCTATGAATAAATATACTCTTTTTATAATTTTAAATAAAGGCTGTACATTGATATTTTTTGTTTATTTTCATCAGCACTGCTTATATCATTAAATTTTCCATTTATCTGTGTTCTAAGTTTATTTGCTTTCTTGTACTGCCTTTCTCTCCATAATCCGGATTACCCCTCCTGCCCACAGATACTGCGGATTAGCGAGGGTTTGCTGTATATTGGAACTTGCTGGTTGATGAAAGCAGTGTGTGCCACCAAATCTTTAGTAAAATTCTATCGGGCTACACGGCGTCACATCCCAGAAGATGGCGCCCTAGTCACAGATGTTAGAACCTCAATTTGGATGTTTCGGATTAGTTTCATCTCTTTCATTTTACTTTCTTTAATAGGTAGGGGCATGTTTGTCAATCATCCGGCGTTCATGGACACAGTCGACAGCTCAGTAATGTCACGTGATCTACCCATATGCCATAGTCAGAATCCCTTAGAATCTTCGTGTCATCGCTTTCACTGGGGATATAAATGTTCCTTCATTGCAGAGAAAATTTCGCCACTCATCGAAATCGCCAGCAGAGCTCAGTCGGCACAACGACGGGCTACGGGCTGGACGACTGGGATTCAATTCCGTGCAGGGGCCAGAATTTTTTCTCTATAACGTTCAGACCGGCTCTGGGGCCCACCCAGTTTACTATACAATGGGTAGCGCGGTCCCTTTCCCGAAGATTAAAGCGGCCGGGGCGCGGATCTGACGGCTCACCTCCGTCTAATGGCGAGGGAAAAAATGATGGAACCACGCCTCCGCTTCCCAATGTATTTTTATGGAGTAATGCTTAATTAATTAAGCAGAGTGACAACTTTATCTTTTTACCGCATAATCTCGGTACAGAGTTACGATACGACGCGGCTGATTTGCTATTTAAGTGTCTGCATTTTGCCCACAGAGTGTTTCGTATGATTATCACAATAAACAATTATAATTTCCCTTAACAGCATTAGCCGTTTTGTCCTTGTGATAAAGATAATGTTTCCTGTGAGGTAGGAACTGAATGCGTAAATGTTC